CAAATAATTTTTTTTCTCTTTAATACTTGTTTCGCCATTATTATTAAATTAAATTTCATTAAATTTGGAAGCAATTGTGCATAACCCCACTTTTCCTTTCTTTTTTCTAATGCAGCATACTAAGAATGAAATTTTTGAAATAAATTTTATTAATGACATTAGAAGAGAAGTAGGTATTTGTTATACATTACTGTAGTTATTGGCGAGTATTTGGATCCGATGGCACTTATGGCAAGCTGTTCAAACTCTTCTCACATCAGAACAAAGAATTAGTTTTAACGTCCCTAATGCACTTCATTTTCATTATTTAATATAATATCTTTTTCCTGTGTTGAAATTGTTGTCAGTGCGATTCATATGATTTCAGGAAATTTAATTCATTCTACAAGAATATGTATTGTATTTAAATTAAAGCATTAATTCTTTTGATAAAGTCTATAATGCTATCAGTTAGTAGCAGAATCGAACCTTTTCTTAGGTTCGATTCTGCTACTGACTAATGGCATTACATGCATTTTTACGAGACACATCGACAAGCAGGTATATACTGTACATGTAACTGTGCAGGAAAGTTATATGCAGCATGATAGTTCACATATTTTCTGTTCTTTATTCTGTTTAAATCGATTTTTCTTCATTCCTTTTTACAGCAAATAAATTCCCATCAAATGGTACGAATTAAACACCATTTTTTATAGGTTCCTTTTTTTGTCATCAATCTTTTTCAGCAGTGATTATCAAGACTGTTATCTATGCTTTGTGTGTTGTGTACCATCCTATCAAGGCTAGATAATTACATCTATAAATATATATAATTCTGTAATACAGTAATGACCTATCATGAATCTTGTAACATTAAGACAATCTTATTCAACTCCTTGTTTAACTTACTCTTTTATAGCTTCTTTTTACTGAAATTCGTTTTTTTTTTGCATGAGTAAACATGTTATTGAATGCGGTTTTAAATCTCTTATATTTTTTCTTAGTCTGTAGGTCAAATGTAATTCTGACAATAACTTAATTAAAACGCAGTCCTTGACGTCACCTGGAAGAAGGCAAATCTTTGAAATCGTGGAATACGTCTCAGGTTGATAAAAGGAAGTAGATTAAACTAACAGCATATAATAACCAAAGTTGATGCTCACTACATGCGGTTTAGTACCACAGCAAAAAATCTTTTGGGCTAGTTAATTGAGCGCACTTTTAGTGAAGAGTTATATCATACAGGGAAAAGCGATGATTTCTGAAAAGATCAGATAACGATATCAGTGAAATCTCAGATACGGCTCCTCTTTCTCTCCTTCTTTTATTTCAATACGTTTTAATTTGCTCTTCTAAAAAATTGTCGCAAAAATCATGTAATTCTTTTGTTTAGTATCCTTCTTTTGTGATCTGCAGTGTTCTGTATTTGAGATCACTACTAGTTTTCATTTCAAAAATTTATTTAATAATGCAGATAACTAGGAATGTTATTCAATCTCAATTTCCTGCTTATTTCAGATCGCAAAATCATCCCTATGAGTTTTCTAATCTTTTTTGCTCCTCATATAGTTATCTTTTAAAAGCTATAAAATTATAAAACTTGTATTTTCTTTCAACAGCACTGTGTTATGCTTATTTTTCTCAAATTTTTTGAAAAAAAAAGTTTGGAAACTATGGGAAGTTTCAGCATTTTCACTCAACAGAAATTAACCTAAGTGGTAAGGTATTTCATGTTTTCTTCATTTTCTGCTTATTGATGATGAAATATTTGGGATGTGATTTTGATTAAGGTCCCTTGAATATTTGTAGCTTTAATTGTTAGCATTAAATAGATTTTGTATGATAATTTGCAAAGAGCGAAGAAAGAATATCTTGTCACTTAATCAGGTTAATTTCTGTTAATCACATCGTCGTTCATTTATTTATACAGTTGAATACTGTGATGGACGTTGATGGGAGTTTTTTTAGATTAGATAGCGTGTAACTAAAGAATAGGCAATGAAATAGAAGATAAGAAAGCATCAGAAGGATTAGGGACAGGGAGATGGAGGAAAAGGATCGGATGGGAACATTTATATCAGGCAGCAATCTGACTTGATATGTTCAAATTTCACTTTTTTCACACGCTGACTATCGTGCGGATGTTTTAATGTGTTTATGAGTCACGAGAAAGTTTCCGGATGTGTTGCAGGTACATTCTAGTATATTAGAAGGGTCTAACTAACATCTCATCCCACCATCATTCAGACACTCATCTTAGTTATACATTAATATTGGATAAATGAACGATGATGCAGTTGACAAGAGGAATCAGGTATTTCTTCTTCTTTGTCATTTACTGCATAAAATTCACTAAGCATCAACAGTTAAAGCTGTAGAGAGCAAAGAATGGAAGAGATATGAAATACATATTTATCAGCAGTACGTACTAATGACTCGAGATCAATCCCGATTCTATGAGTATGCATGCGTAGCGAATGCGTAATTGTTGTAACATTTCCTATTTAAAGTACCCGTCAATTTTTTCTCTTCCTCTTTCCTTATACCACTTCACTCTTCAACTGTTGTCTATCAGCGATATCGGTTGGGCTTAAGAAATACCTAATAAATTCTAATTTCCAATTTTATTTTGAAGTTTTTTCAGTGCTATGAAATGCAAAAATACTTGCGGTGTGACAGAGTGCATTTCAGACTTCACTTTATTTCACTGGAACGAATAGCTGAACCCACTTCTAAATTTAACTGTTTTATGTTACAATATAAGCCGAAGTTGGTTACTTTCCGGTCAGTATCCGTATGTAAAGGGATGGATAGTCCGAAGATCTCACTGTGGTAGTATGCTTCTGGTTGCAGCTAAACAAGATAAAGTGCAATAGTGATGTAGAGAGACTTTAAGAATGTCTTCTTTTGATGACTGCTCATTGTGATTATTTATTTAATATATTTTCATTTTTAGCCTTCCCTATTTCATATTGTTCACCTATTGATGTCATTTATTGCGTTATCTCGTGTTTTCTGTTTGTCTTTCCAATTCGCTTTCCTCTTTACAGTTTTGGTTTTTGTGATTCTCTCTAAAGCTTTTTTGACTGACTCCACGATATTTTGGAGGTTTTCATCTTCCTCTCTTTTTTTTTCATTCAGCCATTCAAATAATCATGGACTGGTTTTCACCATTGTCTGAATTTCTTTTTCTATCAATGATTTGTTGCTGTAGTGTACCATCTCTTTTTGCCATTTTGAGGGACGAAACTTAAATTAATGAAATTTAAACTTAAATTAGTAGTTGATTGAAATTCTCATAGCTTTTCTAGTTATATATTCGTAAATTCGATAACCGGAGGGCGTAAAAAAGTACAACTAATACTGACTAGTTAATTTCTCGGCTGACTATTTACAATACAGCTATTTTTCTGATACATGTAGTTAGTGAATTTTTTTGGAACTGTATGATCTGATTGAATTCTCTTAGATTCTAAGCATTGCATTAACACAAAATTTGTCTTTGTTACAAGTAATATTTATTATTACTATTGAATGGTGTTCAGAATGTGAACTCTGAAGTTGTCATGCACGGGATATATTTCCGAGAAATATAATGTATTTCTTGAGCAACAAAAATTATTTCCACCTTTTTGTATGAGGGAAAGTATCTTGTAGATGGGTTGTTGTTGTACCTTTCTGTCATCAATTTGGAACTTTGCAGCTTGTGTGATAGCGTAGAGAAACTGAGCAATGGTCGCTTGGGTACTAGTTCAACAGCTGCGCTAATGGGTTCACCGGAAAGTGGTTCTTTCTCACCAGGGTAATTCAGTTTTTGTGTTTGAAGAATTGAAATTCATTACTGTCTGATTGTTTCATTTAATAAAGCAACATGATTAAAATACAATAATTCATTGCATTTTTATCTAAAACTTTCCTCTAATTTGTGTTAAAAAGGAGTTTAAACTGTAGGATATCATCACCAGTACCATGCGGAACAAGCACAGCTGGTCCGATTGGCACTCCATCTGATGCATCCGATTCGGGTATTGCTGCATCTAGTAAGAAATCTACGACACGCCGTAATGCCTGGGGTAATATGTCGTATGCCGATCTCATCACTCAAGCCATCGTTAGTTCACCTGAGAAGCGACTAACTCTTTCGCAAGGTAATGAGTACGGCCATAGAACTGTGAATCAGTTGCAATTATATCATTATCATTAAATAGGTACGAAAAATCATTCATTAATTGAATGTGATATTGTTTTAGTGTTCGTTTGATTTCTGAGTTGTTTCTTTTGTAGTGTATGAATGGATGGTGCAGAATGTTCCATACTTCAGAGATAAGGGTGATTCCAATAGTTCTGCCGGTTGGAAGGTTTGTCTTTCTTCGGTTATTTCTTTTCTATTTATGTGAATTTTTTTATGGATTTTTATAGTGCAACTAGCAATGGATTTCATAGAAATTCTTTAATATTATGATAAAGGACTTTGGGGAGAGGGGGAAGAGTAGACTTTCGAAGAAAAAGTTTAGAAGTAAACTTTCAAAGACGTCATTTATAACTAATGATAGAATTCCGGCGCATGACATTAACCATTCTCTAGCTGTCTATATAGATAATAGCGTAGCATTTGTATATATCTGCAAGTGTATACTATTGACAGCTCATCAGTTCAGCTGATTTGAATCATGTTTTAATTCTATAATTTCTGCTTGCTGATTCCTTCATTTGAAATCACTTTTTGATTCCCAAACTGAAAACTCGTTCAACCTTTAGTCTGTCGAAATTCATTTCTCATAGTTTGACGTTTATCGATGATTTTTGATGCTTTATGGAGGACATATAGCACAAAATAACTGACATTTAATGCCTTTCCTCCACCACCATCGTCATCATCATCACAACAACAAAGTGAATGTTTCGCATTAGCAGCGATAGCGCTTCCCCTTTCTAGTTGAGTAGGGAAGGAATGAAAAGAGAAGAGGGTAAGATGCGACGAGAAATGTGACTGGTGAAAAGGGAGAGGGCCATCGGTTTTTTCCGTCACTTCTGAGGTTCAGGCTTTTTGTTAAGGGAAATGTCGAATAAAGAGTGTACAGACTAGAGCTGCGGTTATTAAGGATTGAGAAGTTCATTTCTTTAGTGCACTCATGCTAATATAGTATCTACTAAAATACACATGCTGCTGAATAAAAAGATGAAATTGTTGGTTGGGTATAAAATCAGGTCAGCTGTTAAATATGACACTTTCACATCTCCATTTTTAAAAAACTTCAGATGAACAAAAGTTAATTGGACGAAATGAGTTGAGTTAACAAAGATGCCCATGACCTCCTGATCTCGTGCTATCTTCATAAACCCATCTTTCTAACGGTTGAACAATTTGACATAAATATGGATTTAAAATGAGGATGGGAATTTTATTTCATTCCATGCCTTTTGATGTTACTGTTGCTAATCAAGTCTGAGTAACGCGCAGCTGCTGCGTTTGTACAGTTATCGGCTGGGAAAAGAGATGAATCATACAGCCCGGTCCGTCCTCGTTGATATTTTAACATATGACGGGGACAAATGTAACCTTCGATGGAAACGATTTTGATTCATTCTCAATAATAGCAGCCTCAGGATGTTAATTGCAGTTGAAAATTGACTAAACTGTTAAAAGTTTTGGAGTTTAGTAAAGCAAGGATAGGAAGGGAATGTTTTTGAAAATAGAATATTTCACCAACTATAAGAAATGACGTTAAAATTTCCCATTCTTCGAATGCAAATTAAGAATATAACTGACAACTTTTTTAAAACTCTTCTAAGTATGAATTGGTTATTCTTTCGAATTACTGATTATCCAGTGGAGCGAAAGCTTTGAATGACCTCCGGTTCCCTCTTTCCTGCCAACAATCGATGAAATGTTGCAACGATTTGTCATCTTTAACCCTCGCAGTTGGCCCTCCAGCCTTTCTCTGATGTTCTCGGATAAACCTCATTAGTTCATCTGCATTACTCTCCTCCTCTTCTTTTTAATGAAAAATTAAGAGGCGAATAAATATTTGGAGTAGTTGGAGAAGCGAAATAATAACAGCGCAAGATGCATTTCTAAATCCTCCTTGATAAATTAGTATTAAGGAAGTTAATGACCTTCACTCTCTCATTAGGTTAGACATTTCACTGATACCATCCGGATTGATTGATTTACATATGGAAATGTATGAACAGCAGACAGGATGATCAGCAGACAGATTTCACTTAGTAATTATAATTTCAATTTTTCGAGCATTTTGAGATTTGACAAATTCGTCTATTTTAGAAATGAAAATATGAGGTTGTTTGCAGATTTTCTTAAATAAAAGAAGCCTAATAAAAGAAGAAAAATTCGTCTATTTTAGAAATGAAAATACGAGGTTGTTTGCAGATTTTTCTTAAAGAAAAAGTAAGTAACAGAGAGTTAAAGAGTGTAACTATTGACCAGTCGTCAATCCAATGTGGCAATGTAATTCTTCAGCTGTTGTTGCTATTTGACAATTATATTTGCCAGCTCGAGAAGATAGAAATAACAAACTTCTTTGGATACTTTATAAAACTTGATTTGTCCCCGTCGATCACCTCATCCGCTCTTCACTTAGTTCCTTCCTTAATGTCACCAGTATACTCTCACAAGTTTCAACTTCCCGCACTCTTACTCCATCACTTCTTGCACTTTTTTGGATATTTGCTTTTGTTTTCTTCTCTGAACTCTCCGCCAATGAATATCGAAAATTGCTTCTTCACTTTCGTTTCATTTCTCTCTCTACTGCTTTGCTTGTTGGACGAGAAGAATGCTGTGGTGAGAAATAGTGTGGGAGGATTATCGAACATTAAGAAGAAGGGTCAATGGACCAGGACTCGACCAAAAGATAGAAGAGTTGCTGTACATTACCAAATGACCAGCGGATCGTCTCGCTGGACATACCCCTATTCATCAGCAACATCTCGACCAGAACGCTAACCGTTATCGAGCGGCCGAAGGTCACTCTACCTATCGGTGCACTTTCTCTGTCATACGTTCCAAATTTTCGCTTTTTATTGATGCGCTCTGTCATATATTCCGTTCTTCTTTCGGGATTGGATTTTCGGATTTCATTGAAGTGATCGCGTATATCATCAATATTTTTGTAGTGGACATTATTCTCATACGATCGACAACTTATTTTGCCATCAGCATTTCCTGTTATTGTGATATAAAAGCAGAACTTCTACACTGTTTTTCCTTCATATTGTTTAGGCTTCTTGAAATTTGCTTGCGAATAATCGCTCTTAGAAGGCACAATGGAAGCAAGAGATGCACAGTTGAACCTGGATGATTACGCCGAATTTGAGCAACGTGGTCGCTCACATACTTGGCCTGAGCGTCAGTTAGCCCATCTCGAATTTGGTGCCGTTTCGATTGGAGCAGCAGACCCGGGTTTGTCACCCAGAGGATATACACCGACTTTACCGACCCATGAATCTAGCACAAATATCAGTGCTGCTTCCAGTACAAATCTAACTGAGGCACTGAAATCGAATCTTAGCTTTGTTCCAGAACCAGACTGCGGTCAAGAATCAGAATTAGCCACAAAAATGTGCTTCAGCGGAGAAAAACAAAGCATTGTTCTCTATTCAAAAAAGGTTCCATTCCGGACACAGAGTGAGATGCGACTTCCAGCTGCAAATATCGAGAATATGAAATCGAATAGTGGAACGTCTTATCCATCTCACTTTTCTGAACAGAACCTAAATCATCATGTTGCAGATGCTTTACCGATACTATCACTCCCATCACATTCACCACTGCCACAAACTCACCCTCAAGCAGTATCACATTCCAATCTTAATGCGAGTCAAAACATCGCTCCAACTAATGACAGCGCACAGTTGTCGGTTTTAAAATTGGTTTCAGCAGCAGGAAACACGTCCGACGTTCTATGTCTAACTGGTTCAGGTGAAAACCTCTCAGCTAGTCCAGTCGCCTCACCAGTACACCATGTTATTGGTAGTTCAGTCCGGAATTTAACCATGGTACCCGTTGATTCACATACAGCATCAAACTCAGGTATACGATTCGCGAACAATAATAGCGTGTCTATTACTAAGTCTTTGCCAGCTTCAGGTAGTCTCAGCAGTACTGCTTCGTCAACATCTAATATCTCAACGAATTGTGCCACTTCTCAGGTATTAACACCAACTGTCACAGATTTAAATGCTCCCGTACCGTACTACACTGCACATATGGATGATGTCGAAGAATCGGTTGAAAGGAATCTGGAAGATCGTGGAAAGCGAAGATTAATTAAGAAAAAACGGGTTCGAAAACGGGTAAATGGTCTTATTAGCATAAAGAAACCGAATCCTTGGGGTGCAGAAAGTTACTCAGAATTGATCTCTAGAGCATTGAAGAGTACTTTTAATGGTCGGATGAGATTGAGTGAAATTTACAACTGGTTCGCTTCCAATGTGCCATATTTTGGCAATCGTACAAGCCAGGAACAATCAGCAGGGTGGAAGGTAGAATTTTTTATTTTCAAATCCTTTTTACTTTGGTGGTATTAAATCTTGTTATCCTATTGCAATAATACAAATTCTATTATTATTCAGTAAGAGTTTAAACTGTGTTGTGAATGTGAAACTTTTTAGACTCATAATTTCTAGCACTTTTGTTTTCATTCTTGTAAATTTTTTGAAAATTAGAATTCTCGTGCATTTTATAAGTCTTCATGTAAAGACCTTATTTTTAAATATGGGAATACCTGGTGTACTTTCATTTTGCCTGGAATGTGGTGAGTATGTTCTTCGAATGAGATAAGTAAATCTACACAACTTTTTCTTCTTTAGATTTTAATTCCTGATTTTTTCATGAATTAATGAAATTCATGAAGCTTAAAGTGTGCGATTTTATTCTTTTTAGATTCATGTTTTAATTTTGTAATATTTCGAATTTTAATTAATAAATGAGTGAAATATTCGAATCATTATTTATCATGGTTTTTGCAGAATTCAATCCGGCATAATCTTTCTTTACACAGTCGTTTCATGCGGATACAAAATGAAGGTGCTGGAAAGAGTTCGTGGTGGGTGATCAATCCGGATGCGAAACCAGGTAGGAATCCGCGAAGACAACGATCTGCAACGCTGGAGACAACTACAAAAGTATACATTCGTCACATTTTTCTTTAATAAAATTAATTCTTTTTGGAAAAATTATTTTATTGTCTATGTTATGAAAGAGATGGTATAATGATACATTATGTTTGGCAGAGAATTATATATGATTTTGCACGTTTGATTCGATTGACATTTTTTTTTCATAGGAACCTTTTCTATTAATTTAACAAAAATTAAGGTCGGCAGTTTCATTTGGTCTAGGTAACAGCAGTCAAGTTTTTCTGAATGACATATAATGTACATTAGTTTAGAAAAAAAACAAGAAGGTAAATATTTTATGAGGACTTGAGATATGAATAATACAAAAAGTCAATATTTTTTCGAAACAAATAAAGCAGGAAGCATTCCCTGCTAAAGAATTTTAACAGTTGATTTGGAGGAAAAGAAAAAAAAACAAAAATATGTGAAGAATTATGAATTGAGATAATATAATTGGTTTTATGATGCCACCTTGTTGTTTATGTCAGATACTACAATTCTCTTTTAATTACTTATTAAAATTCAGTTTCTTTAACACCGTTATCCACGATTCCATCTCTTTGTAATAAAACGGAGGAATAAAGTGGGAGTAAAAGACCAATTTTTATGTTTCATTCTTTGTCGTTTCTTATCTTCTACAATTAGTTTTACCCTTATTAACAGTGATATTGCTTTTGACGCTGATATTGCATCGAAAGCAGTGCTAACGTTGAAGGTTCCATCTTCATAGGAGAGATAGTACATTAAAAATGACTTATACAGAATTAGGAAATTTTTTTTTGCTACTGTTACAAAACACAAAAAGATCTCACCTCCATTCACACATACAACAGTAGATACTACCGCTATTATCGCAAGGAATGTTATGAACGTCTCTCACAGCGTTTGTAAAAATTACAAACAGAATTAGAAAAAAAAATTAAGCATATCTAGGTCATAAATGTCCATAAAGATATCTTTGACATGCTTAAAATTTGTAGTAATATGAAAATTATAAAAGATAACTTCATTTTTTTTACAATGGAATGGCTTATACTGAGTGTGTATAGACCTTGAAAATTAAGGTCACTATGCTAAGAAGCAGTTTTCGGCGCCGATGAATTGATTGGTCAAGACTGTCTGTATATTTATAGTTTATCTTGGGAATCTCTTCCGAATCTTACGAAGCATTTTTGAATGATCTGCGGGATAATCTTAATCCTTTATTTGATTAGATTTCGTATTAAGGAACTGCTCTGAACAGGCGATGATGCAAAGCAGATACCGAATGAGCTTATTTTAATTTTAGGTTTTGTCTCTAAAGTTTATGAAAACTATGATTGCTTCAATTTTTGTTTTTTGCAAGTTATAACAAATCTACAATTAAGATAGCGATGGACAAGAAACGACGAGGTGCTCGTAAGAAAGTGATGGAAATGAGTGCGGGTGCTGGCGGTGGCACATTGCTCAGCGCTGGTAGCTCGATTGTTGGTTCACAAGTATGTTAATTGCTATCGAAAGTGTGAGAATTTAGATTTGATGGTTTTGAAGAAGGAGATATGGAACACATACAATGCAATAGTATTGAGATTAATTCTTCTCTTAGCATACTCTGACAAAGAGTGGAAATTTTTTTCTTTTTTTTCAGGCCTCAGTGCTGAGCCGTGAGTTATATGCTGGTGAAGAGGATTCATCGAATTTTGAACCTTTCCGGTTAATACTATCACTTTCCTTCTGCAAGTGTAGATTGTTCAGGACAATATTATCATTTACTCATTTGCGGCATTGTATTTTTTGAATTTTTTTAATTGAGTGAGAATCTTTTATCATATAATGGTTAGGATATACTGAATTTTTAACACCAAAGAAGATCGCGTTTTTATTATCTCTATATGGTATATATAAATGCAGTATAATTTAAGTTCTGTCCATCTCTTGAGAAAAAGATGTTGAATCGTTTCAGTTCTCGTACCCAATCGAACCTTTCATTATCCGGTTCTTCATCACGAGTATCACCATCGATGATAGAAAATTACGAGAACTTCGATAATTTCGATTTTCCACCTTTTGTTGAGGCTGCTAGTGCTATGCCCCACGATATTCTGGATCGCACTAACGAAGTAACTTTGTCAAACTTTCATAATTAGACACAAAATATTGTAAAGCTATGAAACTTTAGGTATAGACTACTTACATATTTACATATTGAAACTAATACCAAAGATAACTCTGGATTTCATTTTATTGCTTTGTAGATGAATTTGAATCAAAGCGACAGTCCAGCATTTCATAGGCCTATGGCTAATCCGATGTTGAATGGTACCAGTGGTCCAGCGTCTTCTAATCTGATCGCACATATTAAAACTGAGCCATCATCCAGCAGGGTATTATTCTTAAAGGCGAATAAATTCATAGCAGTTAGATGACATTATACATGTATACTTTCTTTTATTTTTATATTTTCCTGTATCTTCATTTTACCCGTTTCTTCAGTTTAGCATGTAGTAGATTCTTTAAAATGTTCATTCTGAAATGATTCAATTCAGACTGAAAATAGTGTTCAACCGCCACCATCTTATCATGAACTGGATGTTGTACGAGGTATTCAAAATATCCAAAATCCGTTGTTGCGAACACATCTTATACAGAATAGGATACCAAATCAACCGGGGTAGGCAGTTTTTACAAATCAAATTTATTGAGAGTGTTTGAAATTAATTTATTCTTTGTGTCTGTTTTAATCATATAAATATTTATTGTATAAGTATTGCCGTTTTGCCGAAAACATTGGTGTTAAAAAAATTTTTAATTTTGATATTTTTTATAATCTTATTTATTTATAGCCTTTAGAATGAATACAATGATATTTGGTGGCGATGCTCAATGTTATGTTGAAATAAACTTGTTAACATTCAATGGTCTTTAAATCAGTCATTGTTTCAGAGTACCATACATTGGTAGCTACTCAGCTGGAAGCTCTAGTGTCGCTTCATCAAATTGGATGCACTCAAATGTGATCCCTGTTAATATTCAACCCTCGATAAGCTGTGCTGCACAGCAGTCTTTTAGCGGCAATGCGGCGGCTTTACCCATGGATTTAGAAAATCTGGCACTTCCTGACCAACCGCTGATGGAAGTGGAAAACATGGAAGCTGTCATTCGTCATGAATTATCTCAATCTGCTGGTAGTCAGCTAAGTTTCGACAATATTTAAGCTTTTACGTGACGAAAGATGAGGTTCTTCTATGATTCTATCCTTACACTTCTTCGCAGTTACTTGTGTTCTAAAAAAATGTTTACTTCCTTATCGTAATTCTAAAACATTAAGTCGAAAAATTAACTAGAAAATGTCTTTTTTGACGACTTGTATTTACCTTAATCAATTATGACAATTTGAAATTTAAAGATTTTGTTTTTATTCTAACATAAGGCTTCTTGTGCATCTGTTCCAGATTGTTAAGAAATGCAATTTGATTAGACATTATTTTTTGAATCAGGATAATTCTAATGTGCAGTTATCCTATATTTTAATATCTTCTCTGTCCTCATTAAAATAAGGATTTGAATTATAGATGTTTCTAAATGATTGTATCAATCGACGAACCCTTTTTTGTTTTCAACGGTTTCAAGGATATAGCGAGAGAGTGAGCACTAGAATGAAATGTAGATTTTTTTTTTCTTTTAAAAGGAACGACAGATCATCCTTCATTTACTCATCTTTTTCTTTTCATTTACGCACATGAAACGGGTGATTCAGCTGCACAACGTGCATGCATATCTTGTTAGAAGCAATGTTTGCTATTCTTGGAAGGTTAAATGCTGTCGTCGATTTGGTGACTGTTAGAATTATGGCAATAAGACGTGATTACCAACATTTCAGAATGTCACCATGTTCTTTTTTTTTCATCTGCACTTCAACAGGTTTTTCAGTTAGCCGTACAGTCCAGCAGCATGCACAGAAAAGGTGACACATTGCAGTGATCATCGTTGTGCCATTTTTGGAGACTCACATCCTATTTTTAGTTCATTTCACACATTGCAAATACCTCAATTTTGACCTGTTTCTCATGGGATCATTTTGTAGTACACAGTTAGTGAAGCGATATCGTGATTTTTATTCATGTAGCGTATAAAATCAATTTTCCTGGCACAGAAGCTGGGATCTCCAGCTTCTTAAACACTATTAATGGTTAATTTTTTTGGTTTTGCCTGAGCGTGAATTTTGATTAAATTCATTTCTTCTTCTTCAGTGGTTTATCCTAAGGAAAAATTGGTCAGTACGTCTATGATATTCCATATGTTTTCTAAAAATTTTATATGGTGCCAGAAGAATCACAGGTTTTTGTTCAAATAATGTGCAAAATTTAAAAAAAAAAAACGCGTTTACATGTAAAAAAGGAATTTAATAACTCACTTGCCAGATTCGTGTCCATTACACATAAAAATGGTGTAGTCATTTTATGCTTCGTTTTTCAAAAGTTTTTATCACATGCCCAGAAAACATAGTTATGATTCTATTGTAAAGGTGAGAGTACGATTCAAACATTTGGCAAATAAGCAAGCTTGGTGTGAGGACTGATTCTTCAGTAGTGCTTCCTATTTTACTTCAAGATTGTGGCCTTGGGTTATTCGGAAAGTGGAGAACATAAGAAAATGAGCAATCACCCGAAAAAAGCGTTTCGATAGGAATTCTTAGACACAAAATCGTGGTTGTGATATATAAGGAGTAAGTGATTAAGATATTTTTGCGATCAGTTCCTGACGATCCTTTTCTGTGGCAGTGTTTATCGACATTTTTAGATACGTTTATAGAAAATCGTCAAGATATGTATATATTTCCTTGTCGCTGTGTTATAAAAATACTCTACCTCTTAATTCGTTTTCTTTTTTCTATCAGATTACTTTTAGAAACATTCATTTGTTACAGTAGACAAGAGATGAACAACTATAATTTCTTTCAATTTGTATTTTGTTTTTATTACACTGTATTCATTTTTGACGTTGTTCATGTTCTACCTGGTATTACCTGCTCTGAGGTTTCTTAGTTGTTGTTATTCATGCTGCAATTCAGGAAAATTTTGCGTATGTTCGGGTGAAGGGGAAATTTAAATGCTTTTTTCGGAAAGCAGAAGATGAGGAGCGGATGAAAATATATTTTGAACAGGGATATTTCGATACTGCAATGAAATTCTATTTCCTGACTTGATATGATCCAATATTTTTTTGATGTATTTTTCAAGTGAAAAAGGCACAGCTCTGTACAACAGGATTCTTTTATGTTTCTTTTTTATGCTGCAACTTCCAGCTGTTACTTTTTTTAAATAGAAATCTGAATGCGGGAATTTTTCATTTCATATTTTCTTTTAGTTTTTTCTTAATTTTGACTTTTTCATCAGTTCCTCGCTTTTCCATTTTTTTTTTTTTTGCCTGCTGGATTCATTGCCGCGATACGGAATATGTGCATATTTGTTGTTAAGATGTCTTGTTTTCTATGACTTCACTGAATTTTACTACTTTCATGGGTTTGGTGACCGATGCAGAACAGATGTTGTTTGCAAAAAATGCGTGTAGGACATAGGGATAAATGCAGTTAGGATTATCCCGCTTGATAGTTCATTGCTGTTGCTTCTTGGGTTTTATTATTGGGTCGTATGCAGGTGGCATTAACGCAACAAAAGAGTGAAGCAGAGCTTGAACCACCGGCAGTATAATCCTCTTCGTCTGTAAAAGCAGATTCCTTTCTTGAGTGTTCTTTAGCCATTGTTCATTTGAAACGTATTCTTCGTGAACATTTTTTATGAGGGATTTTATGGCCAGTTGTTCATTTCATAATTCTAGTTTTCATCACATGTACTTCTGATTTCGCTTCTCTTCAAAATTTTAATAAAATGATGTTGACAAAGTGTAGTTTGCAGTTTTCACATCATTACCAGATCAAATTAATTCAGCCGTTGAAGCTGCTTAATTTTACACTATATATTTTCTACTTCTCTACTAGACGCTTTTGCGCATAATAAATAAAGGCAACTTCAGAAATCGCGAAGGCTAAGTCATATTTAGTTAGAAAAGAGCTTGAGGATAAGACTATTTATGGACATAAAAGTGGGAAGGAAAGCATCCAATGGTAAGATGATCAATTAGAGATTATATTTAATTGTTAACATCATACACATTTACATGTTTGTGTTGCCTATAGTTTTTTGGACTTAAGAAATGCGATAAAATAGCTGCTGAACTTGTATATATCACATGGAACAGAAAACGTTCGTTCGAGAATCACGCTTCATACAAAATTAGCACAGTTTTGGATATCCAGTTTTGTTTAACAGTGAGGTGGATGTTTGTGGAAATCAGAAGTTTTGGAACTTGAATTTTTTTTCTGATGAAATCTGAGTGATAATCAATTTCTATATTTCAATTTAGAAATGCTGGGCGAATTTTTCCCTCGCACTTGACAATTAAATAATTGCTTGATGTAAAGTTTTCCATAGCTAACTAATATCAATTATCGAGGTAAAATTGATTATATGAAATTCCGTAATTCTATTTCAAAAATTTTTGCAAGTATTTTAGACATAAACACATCTCCCCAGAATTATTCGTTGAAGATTGTATTGGATTATTTAATTGAAGGTAATTTGCTGTACAATATATAATTTGAAAAAACCCTGTTCTCAACAACCCAAATTTTGAACTGTTTGCAAATTTTTTCAAGTAGATATGTTATACTGCTTTGTGGCAAGAGGAAATATGTGATGGGAATAAAAGGAATTTCCTGATAAGAGGAAAATTTGGCTTCCTTTATCAGTAACGAAGTAAAATATTCCATTGAGAAAAGTTACACAAAACCCAAAAATATTTTACTGTTGGTAAAGGACCCAAAGTAATATTTGTGAAGCACTCAGTAAAAACGAAAAATGTTGGTCTTTTTTTTGGGTCATTTTTGAAGTCCCATCTTACAATCAGCGTTTCGACACGGATAGATTCTTGTTGACAGGAGGAGAAAACCATAAACTATGCATTGGTATCATTGTAAAATGATATATGAAAACCAAAGTGCAGCTCTCAGCAGTTTAATGGAAGAGAATTTCAACAGAGTGATTGGAAACTTCAGCATTTCTTCTTTATATATTGAAGATTTGTAGATATTTATCTTGCTAAAGAGCTGAAAGTTTCGATAGTTTTCCTCTGGGAAGTAAATATCTCTAAGCCTCTAATGAAGTGGAATGTTTGTTGTTAGTGCATTGTTTCTTTTTATCCCTCGTACAATTATTGGAAGCAGCAATGAAAATCGATATGAAGAAGGATTTTTACGATGAAACCGGTGCTTGCACGATAATGAACCTTCATCGGATATATGATGGCAGATGTAATTTGTTCGGCCACGAGGATTATATCTGATTGTCTCTTCTTGGCTCTTCTGCTCCTGCAACGAAGTCTATATACAGTAGCGATGATAGAAATGATGATTATCGGAGTGCTGTCGATGGTAGAAGTAGAACAAATGAAAGTCTGAAGTATTTAAGTATTCCATAAATGACAGTCACCTTCTCTCCTCCTCTTCCTGACCCTCTCCACCTCAATCTCGCACTAGTTGAGAGGCAGCTGGAGTAATCGGTCCTGCTGCTAAACGTTGTTTGTGTCTTAGAATGGGTGATGCTACTGCTGGCATTTCGCCAGCAAAAGACCAAACAACGCAGTGGGATCGGATAGATTTGTATTGAAATGTTTGAGAGTGTGTGCTAGCGGGAGTTGCGGTGCTTTGATTATGGTTTGTTATGGTCAGTTTGTGGGACAATCAAAGGTGACCTTTTTACAGGAAGATGTCGTCATCCTGTGACATATCAAAGCAACCACAAATCAAGATTGGTCATTATGTTCTCAATCAGACACTTGGCGTCGGCACTTTTGGCAAAGTCAAAGGTTGCTTACTTTCCATCCTTATCACTTAATTGGAACGATTTTTTTATTGTGATTATTCACCACTTTCTGCCTCAGCTTTCTATTACGACTAACTAGATTGATTTTTGTCGCTAATTGCATTGGTATAATTAGATCTTTTTAAACCTTATTAATTTAAAGTAGGTACTCACGAAGGCACGGGTTATAAAGTAGCTGTAAAAATTTTGAATCGGCAAAAGATCAAAACACTGGATGTTGTTGGCAAAATACGTCGTGAAATTCAAAATCTATCGCTTTTTCGACATCCACATA